GAGGAGTCACCGACTCAAAGAAGACACAGGGAGAGCTGGAGCTCTGATGTCAAACACTGATGGGTATATTTGGAGCTTCGGCCGGAGAATTCACAAAACAAGTCAAAGAGTCAGAGGTTCTGACTTCACGGTAGAGTTGTCACGTAAATTCTGAAGAACTCTACCCCAGACCCATGTATTTAGTTCAGAGAGAATAATCAACATTGTGCATAACAAGATAGAACCATAACACCTCTATCAGCTGACGCCAACAGGCAGGAACAGGGAGACAAAACACTGAGAGCACAGCAGCCAAGGTTACAGGTGCGTGTGCTCAGCCAGGACAGTATGAACTGATAAACTGGGTCAAAGTTATGGGCCTTGGAAAATATCTCCCCAACACATTGCAAGAAGGGTTCAACATCAAACAATTTAACTTCAGCAAGATAACATACTTTTGAATAAAAAATAAACATTTCAAACAGTATTAAATATGTTCAACTTCTTGTGGTGTTTATAAGTAACTCCCTTCCTAAACAGGATTTGTTTTTTGATATTCAAATATTTGTTTTTGATCATTAGGGATCAAAAATCAGGCCCCAGGGAGAATTGAACTCCCGACCCCTGGTTTACAAGACCAGTGCTCTAACCACTGAGCTATAGGGCCCTGTGAAGGAGCTCTTATTTGATTAACATTATAAAGTCACCTTGAACAATCATGGGTGTGGATCCTGACAAGTTCAACAAGTTAGAGGAGTGTCCTGAGCTTTGTTATGCAGCACCGGGTGACTGAATAGGGAAATTCAAATTACATGACGTTACTTCTTAGACATCACATGACGTTACTACAGGGTTTTCTTTTCCCTGGGCAACCCTATGCCCAGTTGAGGTGGTTCATTTCCAGATTCTCAGTCAGCTGTTCCTGGCCATACCTTTTTTTTAATTACACTCTACATTTGTGACACATTTGTAAGGATTTACAACCTGGAATATTTGTAAATGGTCCTATACCTGAGACAGGATACTGATGCTAGAAAGCATGGCACAAATACACTGTGGCCCCAGAGGCCTGTACTACGAAGCTGGTTCAACCTAACCTGGATATGTTTGAGTTAGCCGGTTGGCCCAATCCAAAACATACGCGCTCTGGCTAAACTGTACTACGACGCTGGTTATCAAGTGGATCGCTCAAGCCGCCGTGTCCTATCTAGTTAGGTGCGCGTTCACATGAAAGGGGTGGTATTTGGAGCATTCGACCAATCTCAAACACGGAGAAGCGTACTGACAGCGCAGCGTCATACTTCCGAATGAAAAGTGAACTTTAATATTAGTCAAATATGAAGAAGTTAAACTTTAAACATCCATGACTTAAACACTTTATCCAGGATAAAAGCCACATAGCTGCACCTGCAAGGTGAATACAGCTGGTAAAAGAAAAAGCGTTTGAATGCGTACATTAACAGGTTTATGAAATCACTGCCCCGTCCAAGACACGAGTGGATCTGACTTTAATTAGGAGAATTTGACTCGAGTGTTTCGTCAACTTAATGTGTTGCTTAAAATAATACTTCTGCATACAGTATGTGACACTGTGAGTGTTGCACGGCCAGATACGGCTCAAGAAACTGACTCAAATAAGGAAATATATGATACATTATGATGTGATATGATATGAATGATAATTGGACACATCGACGTCTGCACTCACAGTGCCGCGGACTGTACTTAATGTTACTCTGATCCGGTTACTTATGTCGTGGCAGATATTTAAGTAAGCTTTCTTAACGCTAATATTATAATAGTCAGATTGCTCTGAAGATGGGAGGGGATATTCTATTAATTTTCACGTTCACACAGTCAGTTGATTTTGGCCGGCCGTCTTTCCTGCAACGGCAGTTTTTCTGTATTTCCTCTATCCTGTAATATGAATTGATCGCTTTAAACTCCGCACACGGAGCTCTGATTGGTCAGCAGGCGGTGCTTTCACTGAGTTGATCTCTTAGCCTGCCACCTAACCTGCTCCGGAGCAGGTTTGCCGCTCAGCATAAGTTACCATGGAAATCTAGCCTGCTAAAAAGAGAACCAGCGTCGTAGGACCGGAAAGCCCGAGATTTTTCTGAAGTTAGCCGGCTAAGCGAAAATCCAGCTTCGTAGTACAGGCCTCTGGTCTGTCATTGGATTTGTTGATGGCAAAAATAATGAATATCGCCAGCCTTATCCTTAAATAATAAACCTACTGTGAATTATTGTCTGTACTGTCCCTTGAGTAGAAACGTTCATGCATGCTGTATGTCAGTGATGTTAAAACGCCTGTCTTGTTTACGATGCGAGCAGATGTGCAGAATTCTGTAGATTATAGTGAGTCGTTCAAAAGCAGCATTTTGATAACCTACAATATGAGAACTATGGCTCGAGGTACATACAAACACACATTGGAAGCAGGTCATCAGGATGGTTTTGGTACCAGTGTAGAACACAGTGAGCGACAAACAGGAACCTGTGTGGATGTCTGGGCGACGCTCGGATCACACAGCAGGACAGTATCAGCCGGCTGTCCTGTGTGGAGCCTCTGGAGCTTTCACCCCTCAGACAGGCCTGACCTTCATCACACATCACCAGGTGATGATGGGGGAACAGGCAGAAACCTTGCTGCGCCAAAACATACAAGCATGCACACCGTCACTGATTACAGACAGACAGACAGATAGATAGACCCCCCCCGACGTGGTTTCCCCCTCCCCTTTTTCACCTCCCTCTTTCTCTCTCCCTCTTTCTCCCCTTCTCGCTCTCTGACAGTCCTGGCACTGTGAAAAGTTCAGAGCTGTCAGGGGGAATGTCAGACGACTGCGTAGAGCTATCAGCTGAACACACACACACACACATTCTTGAGACTCATTGTCACACTCCTTTTTTTTCATGAGAATTAGACAGGCATTTGAAACACAACTCTGGACCGGGTCACACTGATATGTTAATCATCATAAACCATTTTCTAAATTGCCTGTTAATTACTTTATCTCAAATGTGATTTTAATATCTGTTCATCTTTCTGTAGATAGAGACATATGTGTTTTTTCATTCCGGATAACAAAACTGTGTCAAAGAATTGCTGTGTGCACGCTTGATAGATTTGTTAATTAAAAATACTATACCTATGCAGTGCAAATGTTGTACATTAATATACAATACCTTTACTGCACATTTTAAAGGACCAATGTAATGACTTTTAAAACGTTTTTGAAATTAAATGAAACAATAACACCCTTACTGCAGAAGAAATCCTCAAACTCGAGTACAGTATACAGAGTTTTAATTAATATAAATTCAGTGCAGTAGACCTAATCCAGTGGAAGATGATGCCCCCTGCATTAAAGCTTAATGATATGCTTTATTAATCCCAGAGAGGAAATGTTGGGGTTATTTACATTACATCACACATAGGATCCTTGAAGCAGGTGGTTGTTTGGTGCTTTGCTCAAAGACACCGCTCCAAAATGCTTCGCCTCCTACAATTCCCCCAAAAATGTAAACCTTGAATATCAAAAATGTAATTAGAGACTTTTGCCTTTATTAGACGGACTGTGGACAGACAGAAATACCAGAAAGGGGGAGAAAGGACCTTGACTTAGTTACCAAAACAGGCCGCTGTGCTAAGGAGCCAGGTTTTGTTCATGGGGTGCCAGCCTAAGAGCTACCTGGACCCCCAGATTCAGATGTAGCACAGGGATGCTGATTACACAACAAATGTCCTCCTGTCAAATCCTTGTGTTTGGTGTCGAGTTCTAAATAGCTCTGTTAATACATAGGATGTTTTTTTGATCATTTAGATGTAGATTTGTGACCGCTAATGATAAGAAAAGTGGCATTCAAGGCCCTAGTGAGGATTGAACTCACGGCCCCTGGTTTACAAGACCAGTGCTCTGAACCACTGAGCTAAAGAGCCTTTGACGATGAATTAAATATTTGTTTACTATTAATACGACTACAACGTATGGGTGTGTGATTGACTGGATCAACAAGTTACAGGAGTGTCACACCAGCTGAAGGGATGCAGAAATTGTTCACCTGATGTCAATGCGAATCAAAAAGGGTTGTATAAAAAAAACTGCATATTGTAAATCAGCAAGAATCCAATATCGTGCCTCCCTAATCCAAACTTTTTTCTTTACCATACTATAGGAAACTCTATGGCCAGAAGGGGGCGCTCACTTCGGGGCTCTCAGTCTCAGCTGCTCCTGGAGATGCCTTTCCGCACCCAAAGCCAGCGTACGTTAATGCACATCCACAAAAACACTGTTATAATCAAGTTAAAGTTTACACAAGTTAATTTTATCTGCTTTTTTTTTTACAGTGAGCGGTATTGAGGGTGTGCATCTGACTGACGCCATGAATCAAGCCAAGCAGTACTCTTACCACCTGAGGCCACACAGCGCTGGACAAGGGACCACAGGCCGGGGGAAACATTGAAACCCCACACACACACACACACACCTCATGTTCTTTGATGTTTTCTCAGCTGGCTGGCGGCCTTCCCTCTATAGAATTACTTTACACATTGTTCGCTCAATGTGCCAAGCTTTCTAAAATTAAGCCATATGACATCAGAGCCATGACCTCACAGGGTGGGGTTAAGTCTACAGAAATGGTGTGTGTAAAAGATAACCTTTCATCCATTGTGGAATGAACACACACACGCCTTCCCACTCGTTCTCCATCGCTCTCACACACACTGCGATAACCTTTCCTCCTGTTGTGGAGAATGAGGCAGTCTATCAACAGCCGGTCATACAGATAGCCCACCTGCAGCCACACACACACACACACACACTTACAGTTGCTCTCCACACAAGTCTGGTCTTCCCTCTAAAGAAACATTTGTGTTTCTTTACTATACATTTTGTATTACTTTAATATGCATTTGCACAATAATAATCCATCTTGTGTAATTTGATATACCTGAATGTTGTTGTTTTTTTTAAACGTGTATTATAAGTGTATTATAAGAAATAAAACAAATATTGACAGAAGGTAGCCCAATGGATTTACCTTTATTTGCTCCCTTTTTAGTAGAGCTTTTTTTTTGTATCAAAAGAGGCCAGGTGCCCCAGTAAGCCCTGGATAACATCCGGCAAAAGTACTCCAAAGAGGCAAAGAATGACAAACAATTACCAGTCTAAGAATGAAGCAATCAAAGAAGCACACTCAGAAAACAAAAATAGAGGTTGAATGTGGAGTATTCATTTTCACTCAAAATACAAAAACATGTCACTCCACTGTATCTCTGACTGTAGGTTTTGTTGTATGTACTTGTCACATTTGTGCTCTGCGAGTGTTTTGAGTCATTGTAAGATTTTTGAGTCATTGTAAGATGTTTGAGAGGGTGTACTGAGCAACACACCGGGTGCTGGTCGGTCAGTACATGTCTCGAAGGCCCAGGCTTCCACGGCGAGCGGAGGAGCCGTGAGCCACGGTGACACTGTAACAGTAGAGCAAGTCGGTCAGCCACTGCTCCCTGGTCGCACCCCGGGAATACCTCTGAAACACACAGAGAGAGAAATAGGTGAATGCACTCCATGAGAAGCTTTATCTCTCCATCCAAATCATAGAAATGCCTAAAATCCCCCCCTGTAGTATTGTGAGTAAGAACTGTGTTTACCGTGAGCTGCTGTATGATGTCCTGCAGCAGGGCAGCGTTAGCCAGCAGCTGGTTGTGGATGGGTGTGTGCTGCAGCAGCATGGACAGGATCTGTCCGAGCTGTGGCAGCTCCTCCTCGCTCAGATCTCCAACATGCATCAACTGCAGAACCATTCTCAGCAGGCGAGGAACGCTGCTCAACGCTGACACACAAGCACCCCATATTGCCTCCCTGCAATGACACAAATAAGAATCCCAATTATTGAAGATCTTTAGCGAATGATAATGGGGAAACTGCAACTGGTGAGGTCAAATGTAATATCAGTAGGAGACTGTTTCAAAACACAGATCAGAACATGGTTGTAGTTGCTCAACACACACCGTTTGTGGTTGGTTTCGGCAGGTAGCTCCTGCTCCAGGGAGATGAGCAGAGCCATCAGGCTGAGGCAGCACTGAGACAGGAAGCGCAGCACGGGCTCAATGGGGAGGACGGACAGGTCCAGTAATCTGGATACAGCTCTGAGCAGCCCGGCCGCCATACTGTCAGGCACCACCCCCAACTTGATCTGAGACACACACACACACACACACACACACACACACACACACACACACACAGAAGATATACAGGATGTTTAGTCAATAACGTGTTTTCATGTTTTTCAAATAAAACATCAGTAAAGCAAAAAGAAAAACTGTAAATGGAATGAAAACACGCTCTAAAAGAAAAATACGACTCAACAAAACTTCTTACCAGGTATTTGCAGATGCCATTTTGTACGATGTCAAAGCACTGAGACTTTGAACCCAGAGTTTCCAGACAGTGGCAGACTTCCTGTGAATGAAACGACAAAATTATTTCATATCGAAATCATTCCTTTTCTGATAAACTGCTTTCAAGAGGGAGAGACCTTTAAATGTAGGCAATGTGACCACAATGCTTTGTGCTTGTAAATGGAAGAATTAAAGGTTTCTTGTTAGATTTTTGGTAGAAATCTTTTTACGGCAATGGACTGTAAAGAGGCATTTCTTTCTTTAAACACAGGATGGTTAAAACAGCAGTAATCATATTGAAGATAAATGGAAGAAAAGAAAGAAAAGAACAGCTTTACCTGCAATAATCAAACCACTGATATTGATGCTGTATCCCTGTCTGAATAAAGTAAGGCCTTTACCTCACAGGTATCAAAGAAAAAGACACTAAACAGCATTTAAATGCAATTCCTGCTGAGGTGACGACAAAAAGCCGCAACAAACTTCCTAAAAGTGAAATGTAAGGCTCAGCTTTGCCCTCATAACTTCAAATCCAAATCAAATTTCTCATAATCTTTTATCAAATTGAGTTTAGTGCGTGCTGAGGTGCAGCAGTGAGTCGCGGGCCAGTGTGTGTCAGAACGTTGCACCTGTTGGCATTCTCGCCGTCATTAAAAACAATCCCGTCTCATTAGTCGAACCAGAGTTGACACAGTCCATCCCTTAATGTTGCCCCCCCTCGCCACCACGTGCCCCCCCCCCCCCTCTTTCCTGCCACTTGCCTGTGATTGACTCAGACAGGGAGATGAGAAAGGCAGGATCTGAGGGCTTAATTGAGGAGCTGAATTAGTGATTATAAGCCCCCCACTTGCTCACACACACTTGCCCCAGGGCACAGTTACGTTAACTGTAATTTCTTTGCAGAAATGTCACACTCCCATCATGCCATGGGCTCTCATTAGCATTTGTGCATATCCACTATGCCCGATAACCACACATGTCCAACCTGCGCAACGCGATAAAGGTTCCCCTCTTAGCCGTAGTGCCACGATAAAGCTTCCCCCCTCTGAGCTCTATATGAGAGACAGCGAGGGACCAGAGGGTGCGGAGAGACCACAGCGCTGTCCAGAATATCAACACTTTTTCATTTTCAAAACAATGTCATTTCTTCCACCTCCTTATCCTTTCTAGGTTTTTCTTTAATGTTTCGCCCAAGTGCTTCTGATTGGCAGCGGCTTTGGTAAGATTTTGAATGTATGAAAGGTTTGGGGAAATGATATGAAAGGCAGTGAACGCACCTCAACAACATCCCAGTGGTGTGTGAACTGCTCCATCGGGGTGGTGTACAGGCTGAGGGGTGAGAGAGGGGAGGGAGGCAGGATGCTCTCGTCGTCAGCCTCCTGCAGGGCGGCAAGCTTCTCCGTCGAGAAGCCCGTCAGGGTGGAGAACAAGAAGCTGATGTAGTTCACGTCCTCCAGAGCCGCTTCCTGGCTGCCAACCGACCAGCCACTCAGGGATGATCTGGAGAACACATTAAACAAATTATAATCTAAAAAAAACACACAAGCACAAAGAGAATCAAACATTTCCACAGCTTGCAAGTCATGCAACTTCAAAAAGTCACACTTTTTCTACCAACCACTTACTTTAATTTCCAAATTACGATTTCAGTCCTATACATTTTTTACGAAATTATTAGTATTAATCATATTGAGGACAAGGACGCACAGAAACATAGTTATTACATGTTTCCTTGTCGAGAGGGAAGGATGGATCCATAACAGTAGGAAATGTGAGTGAATTACAAGTGTGTTTTGAAGCCCGTGAGGCACATGCAGACATAACTATCATTGAGACGACTGCATTCCAGCCTCCCAAAGAGCTCTTTGTATTATACCCATTACACACATCCCATGGAAAAAATGCCAGGACTCTATCTGAAAGTGCAATACTGCCATCTGATGGTGACAGGCTAGAGTGCTCTAACTCTCCAACACCATTTCCTGACAAGTTGATCTGTTCCTCCAGCAGTAAGGTCATTCCTGCACTGTCAAAAATGTCTTTTCTAAACAGGAGTGTCTTGTGGAACACACGTTTTCACGAGTTCATGTGGCCTCTGCAGGTGTTAGGGGATGCTCAAGCTCACCTAAAGTGTACAATACGAATGAGAGAGGCAGCGAGGCCGGCAGAGATTCGCCCGGTGGTGCAGCAGCAGCTCAGATTGGCCAGAAGAGACTGGGACATCTTGGGGAGAAAGTAGAGGAGCTGCACCATCCGCTGCTGGGACTCTGCTGGTAACAGCACCACAACTCCTTCCTGTGGGTCTTCACACACACAGAGACGCACACTTTGCATGTTATTACGTAGAAAGAAAAGTCATTACGAACTTTAGGGATAAAAGATGAAGCTTTATCAAGAAAAAGAGAAGCCAGGAAAACCAGAATGTGTTCAAGTTAGTAGAAAAAAGGACAGACGGATATAGCTGCTACTACAGTGACGGCTCAGATAATGAGTGTGGTGTTCTGCCTCTCTCTGACGCACATGCTGATGTCTGAAGCCCTCAGACAAAAGGAGTCTTGTGATGTTCAATTGCTGGCTCTGTGGAAGTTTCTATCAGACCCCCCTCCCTCCTCCACTCCAGGCCCCCTCTGTCACACAGCAGCTTAACTATCGGACGTTCCTCAGAGCAGCGGATATGAAAAGGGGTTTTCCGCTCTCCGCCTCTGGTTGTAGTTCATTTTTACAAAGCTGTGTGGGGCGGGAAACACGCAGTAACAGCGCCGCCTAGGGAAACTATGGTGTAACTAAGTCTATTTTTTCTTTAGTAAATTAATATTGTTTCTGCATTCTCTATCATATTAAATTGTTAATGCATGTGAAAAGAAGTATGTATTTCTTACAAGAATGAAATAAAAAATCTTGCTTAAAGCGCAAGTCATGACTGATCTGGAATTGTATTTAACAAAATCAGAAAAAGAAAAGACTACTTTCTATTATTCTACTACCACTCTTTGGGTTTCAAACTTTAACCTCTGACCCTGATCAGTGCTGCCACAGAAATGTGCCATCTGATGGAAAACACCTGACAGGCTGAGTGGATGTGTCCAGAGGGGCAACAAGTTCATACAAGAAACATTAGAGCAATATGAATCTGATAAGTAAATTCAATATAAGAAATCACATCTGATATCGTCTGATCTTGGTCGTTTTGTCTGTGCCTCTGATTGAGTTGTGCTTACCGTAGAGCTTGCAGGCGTTTGTGAGCAGACTCTTGAGCAGGTCTTTGTGTTTTCGAGAAGCGGCAGCCTGGATGGACAGGATGAGTCGTTCAGAGAGAGCGGGGTTACGGTGGCCCAGCTGGGACAACTGCACAGGAAGAGAGGCCAACCAACGACACAGCACCTTACTCCTACAGAGACAGAGGAATAACATACAGAGGCACACATGAACCAAACGGGTATTGAAAGGTGCAGCGAAAGGTTTTTGAATCTTAAGAATTTGTATTTGTGAGTCTGTAAAACTATTTTTGCATAGACACATTTTGTCAATATGATTTCTTTACATTTTTAAAAAGCCTTACAAAAAAAGTAGGGTACTGTTGTTTAATACCCAAAGGCAAAAATGTCTTTGTCGTCCACTTCCTTTGCAAGCAAGAATAACAATCCATTTTTCTTTCATGAAGACATATTCCTGGATCAGTTAGCATGAGTTAGACGTCATTATATATATGACCGCATATATATTGAAATATTGCAATCAGGTATTTTTGCATTAGTTGAGAGAGACATGAGTAGAATACTGCACTTTAAAGTTAACTATATCTTTCATCCTTTTTGTATTGTTTGCATTATTATATTAGTTAAATAATGTTAAAATGTTGGAAATATTTATTGTAACAAGCAATTTGTTTTTGGTTTCTTGCACTACATTTAAATCGGCTGAATGGCAGAAGTGATTACACTTTGAAATCGGTTTTCTTATTGCATTTAACATCACTATTGCGATATTAGACAACCTTTTGCATATTTGGCTCATATTGTGCTGCACCAATTTCAAGTAGACAATACAAGACACAATGCTCAATCTCAAATACTTCCCAAAAGTTATTGGTCTGTGCTCAAAATGCACGAAAGCTGAGCTTGTGAGATTATTAACATTATTAAGGTATTGAAAGTAACGTTCTATTAGTTGGATTTGAAATCATCAAAAATAAATTGATATACAAATCAGTTACCCTACATATGTTACTACTGCTGTGATACAATGAGCATGTGCTTTTAATCTCCAGTTTGAAGGTCCTATTCAACAAAGAGGTTACCTTGCTATGTGTGTGTGTCCTTGCTCTTGCAGGTAGAGCTTGCTGTAGAAAGACAGCAGCAGAGAGCGGGTCTGTAGAGTCAGGTTCCTCTGCTTATAGTAAACGTACACTGCTGCCAACAGGTCATCTGTCACTGCTGCACAAACACAAACATACATTGATGTTAATATTCAGTGTTTCCCCTATATACATTCAGCAGCGGCGCCGCGCGGCGAGACAGAGAGAGAGCTAGAGAGAGCACACCTTTATCTATTTAATATAGTTGTAGAAAATAAAGTAAGAAATCATTCCAATGTGTACTATAGGACAGTACAAACAAAACAGTTTAAAAGGGGAGTGATTAGTAAAATATGCATAAAGAAAAAGAAAGAATGCTAACTAGGTAACATAAGATAAGAATAAACCAGTTTAAATGATTTGTTATTGGTTGTGATCATATTTTAAAGATTTTTGGATTATTGAAAAGTATACAGCTCCCTTTCATCTGAGTGTTGAGAGCTGTATCCATCAATTCATGTTGTGCTCAAAGTGCACCAGATTGATGCATTTAACTTCAACCTTTTAAAAAAAATCGTCCCGGGGGAGCATGCCCCCGGACCCCCCTAGGGGATGTGAGGTCCACCCCCAAATAAAGCAGGTTAAAATAATTAAATTGCATACATTTTATTTTGATTGTTTGTTATGTGGATGTGTAGTATTTGTGTTACTGTATGTTCAATAAAGGTGATTTAGCAAAATACACCTGTAGAGCCTCAAGAGCCTTTCTTGTGCTGGCAGACACATAGAAACATATTGGCGGGGCGCACTTCACATGCACTAAGAAATTCCACGCGCTCCGCGCTCACATTTTGCTGGGCCTTAGCACCGCTGCTATGACTCCATCCTAGGGGAAACACTGATATTACAATACAAATATATTCTATTTAAAACACTAGTATCAGGGTACTAACTTATCCTATTGTCATAAAGCACTGAAAAAACCTTATATCTATTAAACATGGGGATTTGTCCTGTGTCCCTAATTGCTTTATAAATAACATTGAACTCTTCTAATCTCATTGACCTCATGCTTTTGTGTCTATTAAAACCAGACACTGTTTTACAAACACACAGCACATGCTTACTTTTGCTCCTCTGTGTGAGCACCATCTTCCACACAGTGCCCAGCAGCATGTGCAGCTGCCTGTAGCTCAGTTTCACTCCGCTGCCCAGAGTGTCTCGGACAAACGTCCTCAGAGGCGTCAGCCAGTCTCCGTCTGTCTCTCGCCCGAGTCCTTGTCTCTGGCTGAGGGACACCATGACTTGGCAAAGTGTGATGTTAAGGGCCAGAGGCTCCACCGTCAACCCCGGGACGACTGCAGTCTGCTTACTCCTAAAGGAATGGTTAGTGGCATGAGAGAAGTTAGTAAAAGATTTATAAAACTGAAGGTACGATTGCAGTTCCTGGGTCGTTTATACTGGGATGAGCAAAAACAATAAGTAAGGATGTTTTCTTGACATATTCACTCAAATATTCCTTACCTTTTGAGATCCACCTTCTTTCTATGTCTGGGTGTGTCCCGAACATCATAGGGAAAGTTCTTCATGAAGTGCTGCTTAAAATCTCCCAGGTATTCTTTATAAAACCATGCATCCTACAGAAAGGCATTTTTTTAAGTTACAACTTTCTTGTACAAAAAGACCACTGTGTTATATTTGTCCTCTCCTCACCAATGCATCCTGGTGCTCCTGCTGTGGTGCCAGTTTCCTCAGCAGCTGCAGGATAGATAACACCTGGAACATTACTGACATGGCATCAGGGCTGAGCATGTGAGCGCCCTCAGAGTTGTTCCACGGAGAGTCACTGGTGCTGGCTTCCACCCACACCTCAAGCAGGAGAGGCACCAGTGTGGCTGCAAAGCTCTGAACAGCCTCAGCTGAGTCCAAATCCTCCCCCACAGCGGGTCCAGTGTCAACCTCTGGTCTACACGGCCAGGGAATATAATAAAGAACATGTTTAACATATATTTATACACATATATATATATATATATATATAGAATAATATGTTTAACTGGGAATTTAAAAATATTTTTTAACAACTCTGAATTTATTAAAATGTTCAGATCACACGAGTCAGAAACAATCCTATACAGCCACCTAAGCAATCTAAGTCTATAATACTTACAGTAGTACACTAATACTTATACATACATTATATTGATGTGGCCTTATTTTTATCTGCAACTGTACACAAATACCAGGTTTGAACCAAATGCATATAGTTTAAAAGAAAAAGCTGCGCAGCATTTCAATTTAGATTTAGAATTTGAATGGATAAAGCTTCAAAACCTCAAACTAGGTACAGCCCTACTATAACAATGATAGTATTTCAAGTCAACTCAAACAAAGTAAGGTATTTGTTATGTCATATGTTAAAATAAATCTTGTCTCTGATTCCTATTCCTTGAGGGTTGCAGGAGTTTGTGGTATTGTACCTGAGTCTAAAGGTGGACCGTGGAGTTGGTTTGGCACCAGAGTGCTCATACACCTTCACCCCGACCTTGCTGTAGGTGAGCTCTTCCCAGTTGAGATTCAGAGGCATTAGCCGGCCCTCTCCACTGGAGCCAAATACTCCTTCAGTTGGACTAAAAATATCACTTTCCTCCACTGGTCTTTCCTCAACTACTGCCTGCAGAAAGCGCCCAAGCCTGAAATACAAAACAAGAGTTTAGCAGCTAGAATTCAAATGTAACTAACTCTTTAGAATCTGTGTGCACACGGCCTCCTTACCTAAGGAGCACAGTGAGCCGCCACTGCTGACTAGTCACAGTCCTGTTAGGGTTGACTGACAGTGTCCAGTTCCGCGCCTTAGGGTCCTGGGCTTTTTTGGAACCTCCACTGCCTTGTCTGTGAGAGATCAACTCGAGGAAGTTAGTGAGGAGAACGGCAGGCCTTGCTGCTAGCAGAGCAGGGTAGTGTTCCAGCAACACATCAAGGATCTTCATGGCGTCCTCCTGGATGCTTATCTCGATGTGGGTCATCGCACAAGAGAGATGGGCACTGAGGACGGGGGAAAAAGGAGCCACTCGTTCTGCAGGCACAGACTGTGCAATGAACCTGGATGAAGAGCATAATTTTAAACAGTTATGCCATTATTATCTTTACTGTACGATTAGATTTCTGTATTACTGTTACTTTCCTAACCTGAGCACACGTGTAGCTGCCAAACGAACATTGCCATCCTTGTCTGTGAAAACAGCTGCAACTTCAGAAACCAGGCGAGAGAGTTGCTGCTCTAACAGAGATGGATTAAGGGACAGCAACTCTTTCAGACCCAGCAAGGCACTATGTTTGATATTGGCACTGTAATGGTGGAGTTGTGACATGAGGTCCTGGTGAAGGAGGAGGAAAAGGGAGAGAAAGCATACAATTTGTATTATTCCAAAAATTAATCTGTAGTGAAAACATGATTTTGCATACAAGTGAAACATAGGTGAATAACTTACATTTAAACCAAGCTGTCTGTGTGTGGTTGGGCCACTCGTGTCTCTCTTTAGCTGTTCAGTTAGATGGATTCCCTTTGAGCGGAAGTTGGTGTTGGTGGCATTATCAGCTTTGGGCTTCGTCTTTCCCACCTTTAACTTAACTTTCTGGAAGTCATCCTGTCTCTTCTTCTTCTTGGACTTCATCTCTGCAGTCTACACTGCGGTCTGCATAACCAAAACATAAAAGTGACATAATGAGTGCTTTGATTTCAATTTCAATGTAATTGTGTACACTTATTCGAATACTCCACTATAGTACACATGTTAGGTACTTGTACTATGCTTTAGTGTTTACATGTTTCTTCTACTTAACACTTTTTCATACTGTTCTTGTCAAGTAAAAACCATGTGTCTCTAGTTGAGTTGATTGTAATCTTGCATGATAAACTAAGAGATGAAACGCTCCTTAATGGATGGTACTGAAAATTATTATTATTATATTGAAAAAGTTCAGATTTGCACAACCTTTGGAATGGACCGCTAAAGAAAATAAAACATACATTTATTAGAACAAACTGTACAAAGAGCAAATGTTTTCTCCGAATAGTCAGACTATGACAGCGTTAAATCAAAAATAAAACTCTGCACCTGTATTAACGTTAGCTAGCTTGTAGCTAACCATGACGTACCATGGTCAGCAGCATGCAGGACAGATCGTTTATTTTACTTACCAAAGGGGAAAAGTATTGGCTTATGCAGTGGTAGGTTTATATAACATCAAACACACACTCGGTGTCTAGCGTTAAAAGGTTGCCCCTTGCAAAAAATGATCAACACATATGAAAATAAATTGTTCTGTCTACAATCTCGTGTTGATGCGTCGGGTCCTCGGACTGTGTGTACATATCAAACGCACCCGTTGAGATGTTGGCACAGCCACTGCGGGGCTTATAATTAAAAACCTCTTTAGCTGTGAACCCTGTCGCTGTTTATACAATATTTTAGGCACTTAATTGTCATTAAAATGAATAAAATACAATAGTTGTCACCAAGTGTCTGAGAAATATAAAAGTGTTCAATTTTGCTCCAACAAGCTCCAACGGTAAACCCTGGCTCACAAAACAAACGCACTACATAGTTGTCCTCACAAGTGCCTTAGCAATATTATAATAAGGTATTCATAAAGTAATTTATATATTTGAGAGATGTCCTATGCCCAATATTGAATGATTTAGTGTAACTTACACTAATACAGATGCATTATGAGGGCCTGTTTGTTTTTGTTTTATAGTGCTGAGGTAAAATTGTCCAATATCGTATTTTTTAAACTGGCAGAAGCGCCGCTTCCCCATTGGCTTCGAGGCTGCTTTGTTTTTTAACATCATAGCTAGTCTGCGCTGCCGACCTTGTGCTTGGAGAAACTCGCTGTTTGTTTTAAAATACCTCAGGTAAGTTAGGTTTTTATTAGATTACCCTTTAACTAGTGGAGATACATATGATATTTGGTGTATAGACTTGCTTGATGCGTCCACAGCTAGCGTATTATTGACAAAAAGCCGGTTTATTTAAGCCTCGGCTGGGCCTCAGTTGAAACCAAACAACGCAACGAGTTTCTGCTCAGATAAGATAACATGGACGAATGTGAGCGTGTTTATGTATAATATTAATTACCTGGTTTATAAATGTTTTTGATACGATCTCTTTCTTTGTCTTACAGTAGATAAACTAAGGAAATGGAGGCTAATTCTTCAGCTAACAAGCATCCACCTAGAAATGGGCCGCAGTCCAATCCAAAGAGAAATTCCAGGGTAAGACGGCACTCAGCTGAAAACAACACAACTTATAAAACTAAACTCATATAACATCATGCACATGATGCTGACTTCTCATAAAGAAACCATGATTGTTGTGTTAATGATAATGTGCACTGGCTGTTGTGGTGCGTGTTTGAGAGCCAGGCGGCAGCAGTCCTTGCAGGTGGACTTGGTGCCAGCCCGTGGGCTCTCAGGCTTAAAACGTGCCCACTCAGTGGTCCTGGCATTCCATATGTGGCCTGTTATCGCTGTTGTGATTCAAAGGAATGTCTGTGTTTAGCTAAGTTTAGTTTGTTGACCTCACAATGCCAACATTTCTTCAGTTCACTGAAACGGCTTAAAGTTTCTATTTCTGAGACTTGGGTTCACTGAACCAAAGTCTAAGGGCAGGCTTCTCAGTTTTTACTTCTGAGAGCAGTCCTGTTGTGAACCAAAAATGCCTAAAGTTTAGCAGGGCTCCCTGTGGGATTCTTTAAAAAAAGCGGTTAATAGCATATTTTACATTAATATGCAAGTCAGCTACAAACCAAGACTATCAATAAACAGTACTTTACTTTATTGCAAAAAATATAAATGTTACAATTGTGAATTTGCTTTTTCGTGAGAGATATTTGCGCCAAATGGAACATTTGGAATTCCCTTATGAAATTCAATTTGTCTCTGGTTGAGTAATTGCCATGATGGTTTCCTGAGAGAAACCTAAATCAAGGCTACAACGTTTTGAAGGAGTTATTTGCCCCTCTTTAGGAGAAAGGGGTGAATGTTTTGTTATTTGTGTTTGCTTATTTCACCTGTCAAACTTGGATGCACACCCACAATGGGTGTAAGGCCAAAATACACAGTGGAAGAAAACACAGGAAAAGAAGAGCAAAGACTTGGTGCAACATTTTAATTTCATTCTCCTTGGGAAATTACTGAGGTCTTGATCTCAGGCTTCTTTAATTTGGTCACTGTGGAATGTTTGAATATTACACTTGTCTTCATTTAAGTGTATCAAGTCTCTCACATGATTCAGACACTATTTAATAATGTGTCTGTTTGACTGTTGCTGCTTGATGCAGACGTCCTGGGGAACATGGGAAAATAATGGCTCCATGGCATATATAGTGTGGCGGACACGGACAAGAATGATCAGTCCTCTACTAAGTCTCATCCTGTCACTAATGCCTGTATGTGTCTCTCTCCTTCATGTGGGTTAATTCCCTCCTTTTGACAGAGAAAGCAGCCGCAGCATTCTGCTGATATAGGTAAGTCATTTATACACAGTGCCACTGCCAGTGCTAAGAGGAGAAGCTTGAGATCTTGTTGATTTCCCTGCTTCATTTCATGGGTGGTGGAATGTTTTCCACTTTTTGAGACCGACACTCTGAGGTGGGTGCTGTTGGGTGCCATACATGGTTTTGCAGTAATAATCTCGCAAAACCTTTTCCAGTATTTTTGCCATAATGCTACTATTGTAGATTTTTTTTTTTCAACATTTAGATGTTCTGAACAATTTTAGAAATTTCAACCCATTCTCCTAAAATTTTGCTACATTAAAGACCAGCACCATAAGCTCCAGTAGTCCCTCGTGACACCTAAAGCAGCGGCACATACAGTAATACAACCATGCGGCTGCAATGGTTGCAAGTTTTGTTGCACTTTTTGTGCTGTTGTGCTTTTTTTGCTCACCAGAAAAACTTCTTTAGACTGCTGGATGTAGTATTCATTGTGGTATTCAGTTGCCTGTGCTACACAGGCTTGAATGCTGTTAATATTTTTTTTATCTAAGTAAACCTTACCTGTTAACCAGAGTATTTTAAGTTATGCAGACTTTTATTGTGTTCACACATTGGGACTGCTTCCTTAGTGCAACACAGAATTGATTCTTCTGTGGTTGGCACAGTGAGAGACGGTACATTACGGGAGCTGGTGCCTTGCATCAAAGCCTAAATGGGGGTTAGCGGAGAACTTCTGTTCCTGTTCTTCCCTCTGGCTTCAAAGGCACACAGGAGTTTGGGTTTCTATAAGTTGTTCAGTTCACACAGAATTCTAATTAATTGGTCCTCACCAGACAATGAAGGCAGTGTTGGAACCTAACACACTTTCTGAATTTCAGTGTCTTCCTAACTATGATTATTATGATCCCAGGGGTCACCCCATAAATGTATAACAAAGTGGCCCGCTGAAATAGTCTTCTGGACAGGAATGTTGTTGTCAGTCGTGTGTCACTATAAAGCTCTTGCTTTGTGTTGACCACTGTTGTGTTTTCCAGTGTTCTCCAAAGGGGCAACTATCCAGACCCTGCCCGCTCTCAGCAAACAGTTGAAGGGGCTCACAGAGTGTGTCATTGGTAAGCATAGGGCACATTTCCCTCATAAACATCTACTTTACCTTCTTCTCTTTCTATCAAATGGATTTAAAAAAATGATCATGACTTGTTTACAGGTCTTCAGTATGTGTGGGAGTACCGTAGCCCCAGTAAATCTGTCCCACCACACTACCAGTGCAAACTCTGTGCCGTCTCCCGCTTGCAGCATGATATGCTTGCCCATGTGAAAGGCTGGAAACACAGCTTCAGATATTTGGTGAGTATTGATGGCTTGTTAATCTGCCCTAAATGCACGATATTGGGAAATGTTTTGTATATATTTATTTGTCTTTACACAGAAAAAGGTGCACCCTAACAAGGTAACCCATGAAGAGGAAGAGGCCATCAGGGACCCTGCTGTAAGAAAAACCATTAAAGAAGTTTCAGCCGAGGTGGAGAAGACTGAGGGAAGAGGACAAATCAAGGTGAGTGTCAGACGTATATCCCTGCGAAATATGGCAGGAAAGCTGTGTTTTTATCATACTGGGAAGGATATTGCTAGATGATTTGCTTAAAATGACCATTGGAAATTAATTGTCTGTGTTAAGGGGTTGCGTTGGCTTGCAGATGTAGATGAGAAGGTTGAATACAATCTAGAACAGCGGGTGCCAGAGAGCTTCAGGGGAGGCGCAGCATGAGAAAAAAATAACGAGAAAAAGACGAGTAAAGTGTCACTTGCACACGTTTGGCTGTCTGTGGAGACCGAGTTCCCCCACCTCGCCAAAAAGGCTGTAAAAGTGCTCATTCCCTTCACCTCCACCCAGGGGCGGACTGGCCATCTGTGTGTTCTGGAGAATCACAGAACAGCCGGTCGTCAGCGGGTCGTTGACGGCCGGCTCGGTTCGCTGACGGCCGGCACCGCCCTTTATTTGTAATGTTTTTAAAGGCATCATTTAAGTTGCGCTGATTTATCCACGATGTTAAAAATGTTTTTTAAAAAAATGTTTAAAACATAAAAAGGTTTTAAAAAGTTATTGTTTAATGTTTTAAGGAGGTGACGCTACTCAGCCAATCAAATCGGTGCAGTCAGTGAGCACGATAGATTAAACACACACACAGAGACGAGACAAGAGGAGAGAAACAGTTGGAGTCATTTCAAATGGCGTGCTCAAAAAAGAGAAAGGTAGACAGCGAAAACAGAGCATTTAATGACATTTTCTCTTACTGGACCTCTTTGAAATGCAATTGAATGCCTCTGCATTATAGTAACAACATCAATAATAGCAATAATAATTGGGAGGGGGGGGGCGCGGCTGTTCTTACCATATTGAATTTCTAACAAAGAAATTGAAATTCACTCTTGGCTTCCTTTACAGACTTAAATGTTGTTTTTCAACTTCATCGCGTAAAAGGTTGGTCTCTGCTTATTCCTGTCCCAGCTGGACTACGGTGATACCATTTATAGATTTGCCTGTCCCACTGTTTTGGCCAAACTTGACCCACTCTACCATGCTGCACTGAATGCACCCTATCATTGCACACTGTATAGCCTAACTGGATGGTCCTCACTTACTATGCGTAGGATGCAACATTGTTTTTTATTATTGTATAAAGCCATTTTAGGTAAGCTTCCACTGTATATATGTGCCAGATTTGCTCCAGTTTGTGACTCTCACAACCTCAGAACCAGTGCCTGGATACGGTTCCAAGCACCTGCTGTGCGGACTGAGGCTGGAAAAAGGAGTCTTTTTTTTTTTTTAATATGGTCCTTGGTCTTGGAATGACCTTCAATCATATGGGCTCAGAACAGTCTCATAATACACACATGCACACAGAAGGATTCACACTTGTATTTCCGGATCTACACTTGTGTTTTTCAATGCACACACAAATGTGTTCCGTTTCATATACATGTAAATAAAATCCAAATAAAGAAAAAGGTTTTACATATGTATTTTTGATCCTCACATATTTGTTTTCCGTTTAAATCCCCTGCACCTGCAAACACAAACCGCTTTCTGTGCATGGATCGCTGTGCATTCGTGTGTGTTTTTTTTTAGACTCCCCTGACGGTCACCCGATTCGTAATTTTTTCTATCTATAGCCAATCAGATGTCTCCTTCGTTCTAAGCCAATCACATGAGCGCGTCCCCACGAGGGTATGATTTATTGCGTTCATGACGTAGCTCAGAAAGCGGGTTGTGTTTGCAGGTGCAGCGGTTTTAAACGGAAAACAAATATGTGAGGATCAAAAATATATATGTAAAACTTTTTTCTGTATTTGGATTTTATTTACATGTATATGAAACGGAACACATTTGTGTGTGCATTGACAAACACAAGTGTGGATCCGGAAATACAAGTGTGAATCCTTCTGTGTGCATGTGTGTATTATGAGACTGTTCTGAGCCCATACAATCAAGCCTCAAACTGACGGCAATTGTCTCAATAGCATGTTTTAAATTGAAGTTGTCTGAAGTCCTTACCACCAGCTGCTCTTGCAGTAATAAGTAGTGCCCCTTTCTTACTGTCCTAATATGCACAATGTAGTGACTGCTTTTTCGTCTTTTGTTTTCTTAGTTATGTTCTCTGTATTTTATATGTTTGTATTGTGTTATGTGTAACGTTGCTGCCTTCTTGGCCAGGTCAGCATTGAAAATGAGATTTTATCTCAATGCTTTTATCTGGTTGAATAAAAAAAAAAATTCTCTGAGGGGAGGCTCACCTTCCCACACTTTGAAAACCCCTGATCTAGAAGGTCTAGTTTTAGTGCTACATCCATGAACTTAAAGGCTTATTGCACTGCAATACAAGTCATAACATCATTAATAAGTTAGATTAGAAATCTATTTCAAAGGTTGTGAGGGGTAACAATCTATCAGGAATGTGTTATTGTCGGCTTGCCTGGCATTTCAGCTTACATTGTGCCAGATTAACTGTAACTGTTCTAAATAAAAGATTCTTACTTTTGCGATTCGAGGTTTTACATTTGAGTTTGCTTATTTTATTCATGATTGTGGATTTGACATATTTTTGTTCCTGTTGTGGCTTTTAGGTCATTCTGAAGGAGCCATATGAAGTTCTTGCTTTTAAGGGACTCCGTAAGTTTCTCTTCTATGAAATTGGTTTAGTAAAAAGGATTTCCTGTTGGTTGTAAGCCTGAGTTGTGAATGTCTCATTTCCCGTTGTCCCTTACAGGTTCTGCAGCTCCTAAAGCTACGGCTCCACTTGTGCCAGGGATGGGACCTAAGGGACCGCCACCCTATGGTAAGTCATTTTTATAATTTAAGCCAGAGCTGCAGCTATAAGTGAACTAATCAATCATCGACTTAAGAAAGTACTTGTCAACTCTTTTCACCATCAATTAATCTTTAAGTTTTCATACAAAACCTCAGTTTTTACCTTCTCGTATATGGAGATTTTCTGCTTTTGTTTAAAAAAAAACTAAAACAGCAAGTATACGTACAGAAGTTCCCTACTTTTTTTCATATATTTTTGATAAACTATTAATTTACCTGTGTAATGTCAATAAATGCTGTTTTTCCATTGACCTAATATGCAATTTTAATGTAACAGGTCCCTCAGGACCCAGGTTCTCCGACTCAAGGTTTTCAGGGGAGTTTCCTCCTCAGCGAGGACTTCTCTCTGACTATCCAGGGGCAGAGTATGGGGAGCCCGGCTTTGGAGGCTACGATTACCCGACCAGACAAGAGTCCCTCGGCTCGGGTATGGATCAAAGACCTTACCCAGATGGTATGGGTCATCGTCCAGCTGGGATCAGAGACAGTTTTGGATCAGGTGGTGGAAAAGGTGGCTATGGAAGGGGTGGATTGCTGGAGGACCCGGTCAGTATGTATCCTGATGAGTACCATGGCAACCAAATGCGGAGGAGCCAGATGAACAGACCAATGGACAAGGCACTGGAGAGACCAGGCTTGATGGGAGCTGCTCCAGAAACTAGCAACCTTCCTAATACACTCCTCACTTACCTGGTACGAGTTACATTTCTCGCAGCAGGTTCCTCCATAACTTAACAACTGAACATTTATTTTGTAAAATTACTCGTGTTTGTATTAAAGGTCCCATGTCATGCGGTTATTACCCGTCCCCTTGTGTGTTATGTAGCTTTTTCTGCATGTAAACGGTCTGCAGAGTCACAACCCCTCAAAGTACACCTTGTAGCGAGTAAAACTCTAATGGCGCATTTCCACTACACGGCCTTGCTCGGTATGGCTAGGCCTCGTTAGGACTGGCTCACTTTATCACGCATTTCCATTACAGTTTAGGAACTGGGGTAGTATCTATAGTAACGCAGTGTAGGCGGAGCCGTGACGTCATCTTCAATGAGAACCCCAGAAAAACAACTTAGCTGTTAGCACTCAGAGCTCACAGCTCCTCATATCTGTTCAGAAACTAGACAACGAGTACAAACCACAGACTGTCTGTGTCATGGCGAATACAGTCGCTGGTTTATTTATGTCTGTATAGGCCGTTGTGAGTGTGGACGGTCGGAGCATATATTGCGTTAGCTTAGCCAATCTCCATTTAGAAAACACGCATTTTAAAAGGTTTTTCGCCTGCCGTCTGTCTGCAGACTTGTCAAAGCATTAATTCATGGTTTTTACTAACCGGTATCAGTATGTTGTTACTTCGGCATCATTTTGAAACGTGTATTACAATTAAATCACGGTCAAATATGTTCATCTTGTTGTAGTTGTAGCCCCCTTGCCAGCGATTCTCTCTCTAGTTTAGCATACTCAGCCCGACTCAGCCTCGTTGTCTCTGGCCCTAGAACCGCGATTTTATGGGGCCAGAAAAACTGTGAATTAGGACCCGCTAGCCGGTACTAGGCCAAGTGGAAACGCAACCAAAGACGGGCCGCTGACGTCACAGCTCTCTTAAACGGGGCTCCGCGCTGCAGTGGAAACGCGCCATAACACAGAAAAGACCTGTCTATGCTGCCCCAGAACGCCTCGTTGCAGATTTTTCTTTTTCCATTTTTTTCTTCCTGAGTATGGTGACGTAACCATGCCCAGGTCCAAATGGACCAATCCGTGGAGCTCCTCACACACACACTCACTCAGCCTTATCTTTTCTCAGCTGCGGCTCCGCAGATTTCTCAGCCTGAACTCAGCCTGAGAAAGCGATACACCGCGAAACTCAGGCTGGGTTCAGGTGAGTTTCGCGCTGTCTCGCAGACCCCACGCAGCAACCAGTAAACGACCCCAGTAATCCAGCTCACACTGTCCGCATCAGTGAGCCCCGCAACGTCCCGCCAACACGGCACCCAGACCCCACGCAGCATTCTCATCCGTTTGTCATTACTGGTGTCATTTTCTGGTTGCTAACGCCATTGTAACACTGTAACGGTGGTGGACTCATCAGAGCACAGTGGGCTCATAGGGAGGGGGGGCAGGAGCTCCAACAAGCCATTTAGGACAGGGAGTGAATACACATAGAAATGAGAAACCAATGTCGTTTTGGAATATTGAACAATGTAAATCTATTCTAGTATACTTCAATGGAATTATGATCAGTAGAAATGGCCATGTCATGGGACCTTTAAAACGTTTATTAACTCCTTAAATTGTATTTGAAGGATACTTTCCGGATAGAGAATGAGAGTGACGCACAGCTGGTGCTGAAGGTGACACAGAAACTGACAGATGTGCTGATGGACTACAGACTGAGGAGCGTATCGTCGGTATGGAGCTTGTTTTCACTAAGACCAGTTTCTGTTCTCGTATTTTTTTATTTAGTAAAAACAAATGTAAGAAACATTTTATCTGATTTGTATGTGCCCATATTTCTCAGTATTGTCTGTATTACTATAACATCTGTGTATTTAGAAACCTGTGCATGTAAATAATTGGTCTACATCTCAATGTATAATAATTTCAATTGTTTATATTTCATTTTCTGGTTATCTCGCTTTTTAACTTATTAACTGTGTTTATGTATGCACCATGTATACACCAAGGCAAATTCCTCGTATTTGTAAAACTACTTGGCAAAACCCGTTTCTGAATCTGATTATCTTTTCCTAAATGTTTGTCTTCATTTCCTCCTCAGGGTTCTAGTCTGAACAGCTTCTCCATGAACTCCACAGGTTTCTCCTCTGAAACCCCCAAATTGATGGGCAGTAGCGATCCATTCTCAGGTATGTAACCAAGTCTCCTCTGAGGCTGCGTCTCAGGTCGGTTATTTTCATTTCCTCGCTCCTCTGTATCACCGGAAGTTGATTTGTCTGCGCCATCTTGACCGAGGAGCGATAATGGAGGAGCGATAACCGAGGAACCACCAGACCATCCTCTGCTGAAATCCTCAGACACTCGCCCCGCCCCCCTTACTGTGTATCGCTCACTGATTGGACGATGCAGTGCATGCACTGATCTGATGCTTCTTGACATGAGAGCAGTTTCCCAGCGGAGTGAAGAAACTCACGAGAGTCACTCCTCAGTTTATACCGTGTTTTGTTTCAATTAATGTATAATTTAGTTACAAATATGTGATATATCTGAACAACAAAGTGGTCAAAAATTATTTTATTCATTTATTGGAAACATTTTCATGATCTCTTTTTTTCGTTTATACATTTTAAGAATGGCGTTTATCTTTTTTCAGAATGAGTTATTTTATTTATTTGGGTCTACAACAGATGATACAAATGACACATCTGTCAGTAAATGTGTACTTAGAGGCGGGGGTGTGTGTGAAAACAACGGGGACAGAGCTGCTGTGCGGTGTCATCACAAACGGACGTCGCTTCACGTGACGCTCCGGAGGAAAGGACGTCCCATTGCTCTTAAAACTCATTTCCCTGCTTCTCGTGGTTTCCTTGCGTCTCTCCATGCTTCCCTGGTGGGAGGGACTAAACGCAGGGAAATGACGCAAGTGAGGGACGCAAGGATTCCATTTAACCGACCTGAGACGCAGCCTGAGCCTTTCCATTTGAAGTGGACTCAAATGTAGAAGGTCATCGGTTGGTCATTCGTTGACCTTCTATGGATCACATATTCCTGTTGCTTTCCCAATGTTGTTCTATATTGTGCCATTTTAATGTGTTTCTGTTTCTCTGCAGGTCCATCCAGGTACTCTACGGGACCCAAGTATTACAAATGAAAATCACAAGCAATCCATTGATCATCTTATGCCTCGCTCCTATGTGCGCATCGATTATGACCGGGCAAAATTTGAAAATGTCGATTTCATAATTTCTTTTTTTACACTGATGCTTTTAGGCATATTTTTTGTTGCTACTTAGTGGTCTTCCTTTTTTAATGTTTGTATCTATTTTAGAATATGTAAAGATTAAAGACTTGGGAAGTAAAACAAACTACATGTGTTCACCAGTTGTAACTCAACATAAGTGTATGCCTATTCTTTATTTTCCAAGACCCTGTTCTATTAAAATGAATGAAGGAAATTACAGGTGTTTGTTTCATTCCAACTAACTTTTCACAACACAATCTTCAGGGTGTTCAGATATCTGGGATTCAAATCCAACCTATTGTCCTTAGCCTCATGGCATCTCCTCTTTACTCCTTGATCCTGTCCCATCTTTTACAATGATGCACAGATAATGGGTAGTGCTCAAATAGTCTCTGAATGTAGTCCTAAAAGTCTTCAACTGGTCTAGTTTCAGTGAGAATATCAAATGACTTCAAGCATTCCTTAACTACATTAATCTTTTATTTCCTCCATGACAAGTTTGGGTTTTTTTCCTTCCCATTATCATTTCAGCAGCATTAAAGCTGCAAGTAAATCCTTTTCTTAGATATATAGCCAAAAAAATAAAAAAGGTTAAAACGCCCAGAATGAACAGTAAAAAAAATCATTTATTTTAGAATACATGGAATGTTCAGAGCTAATGACATTCTTAAAAAACATTTGAAAAGTAAGAAAACAACTCGACATGTTGCTGAAGTTAAGCAAAGTAACAGTTGAAACAAACTGGTCGTAAAAAAAAAAAAAAATAGTTATGGCCTTGAGCCACTATGTCTGCATTTGAGCGTTAATGTTTAACTGCTTCAAACGTTTTTTGCCAAGACGTCCTCCATTTGTTTCATGGTAATGCAAGTAAGAAGTAGTTTTGTCCCCTGGAATTCCAGGCCATGGAGCCTGCGAGCCAGTGAAGCAAGTTTTGGAGATTGAAACTGAACCAGAGCCTCACCAATACTCTCCCCATTGCTGTTACGCAGTAAAATGATATTATTCTTCTTAAGTCTGAATGTGCTGAAAAGTATTTGTATATTACTTTCTTGGACATCTGCAGGCAGGTTTCTGACGAAAAGGCAGGTCTGAGCTGCTGGGCCAGATTTATTGCTCGGCACAAGTGGATTCCGTTTCCCCTTGGGTCCAGTATTTGGACAAAGTTCAAGACTGGGTAGGGTTTTGCCCATCATCTCTTTCATCGTCTTTTTAGTGATTGACGAGACCTCAATGGTATTTGAACCCACATGGCAGCCATTGAGATTCATTGCATAGTCATAATCCTCAGTGCATTCAAATATAAGGAAGGCTGTAGCTGATCTGTTGCCTTCCTTGTCAAGCAGATTTAATACATTTGTGTGTGCAATGTTCGGACATCCAAACAACTCTTTTATTTCAGTCTTGGTCATCCCTTTGGATAGATTGTTTACCATGACGTTGTACTCCACAGCTGGCGATATGGTAGTGATGGAGTCACAGTCAGCTCTTGGCTTTTTTGGCAATTTTGATGGCAACTGGTTGATAAACTGCCTCTTGAGCTGCAGCGCAGACATGTTCTTTTTTCCGTGGTGTGCCCTTTCCGTGAGAGGCTTTTGCTTGGTTTTTACTCTCTCCCCAACATTAACAGCAGCTTCACATTCCTGCAGTGCATTGGTCCACATCTTCTCAGTTGCTGCACGCACCTCCACACAGATGGGGCCCAATGACTGCTGGTTGAAGAGAAGAGCATCAAACGCATCCTGTGTGTGTGCAAACTTCACGAGGCATGCGTGGCTACGTCCCAACTCAACATCCACGATGGCTTCCTGTACTGTCAACCCTTGGAAAAACTGGCAGATGTCCTGTTTTTTAGTGGAGGCTGGCAGACCAAAGAGCCTGACGTAGCCTGGCCCTGAGTCTGGAGTCTTTTTTGGTGACATAATTTCATCAACCACTCCTGTGCTGTTAGTTCTTGGAAAGTCAACTGTTTGCTCTGCCTTGTTGTTTTCACCTGTGTGTGTGTGTTGACTGGTTGACTGGAGACCTTGAATGATAGTATACATCCCAAGAAGAAAGGCAGCATTGAAGTCTTGTGAGTCTGCATTTGAAGGTTGTAGATTTGTATCTGGATCTGGATGAAGAGGCTCTGGCAGAGTGTTGGCATCAAAAGGGATATCATTTGAAGGCAGCACATTAGCATCTGAAAATGGCTGATACTTCTTCACAGGAGGCTGTGGGGGGGAGGACTTCTTCACAGGAGGCTGTGGGGGGGAGGGTTTCTTCACAGGAGGCTGTGGGGGGGAGGGCTTCCTCCTCTTCAGCCAATATTTTAGTTTTTTCTCAAGCTCTGCCATGCTGCTTAGGTGTAGACTAACTTTAGAACCTTTTAGTAACCTTCCCGTGTACCGCAAAGCAAGCTGTGCATGTTTTTCTAAAGTAAATGCAATAAATGCTTCTTGCAGACTTCCTCCCACGATGTACACTCCTCCGTCAGGTATGTGAAGGCGTTTGAAGAACCTCCGTACATCTTTAGTGCCTGCCTTCACATCAAGACCTTGCAAGCGCAGGATTATCATTTTTTCACACCAGGTTAGATGGTGTCTGAAAAGTAAGACAACAATGGTGAAAACAAATGAAATGCAAAAGCTAATTGTTGAGATTTTACCAACAGATAATCGGCAATGACGAAAACACGTGGTGTGTTGTTCGCACCACTGAAAAGAAAATAAAGCCCGGGCATTGCAGAAAACTTTTCTGTCTCCGTGAAAAGCTTAACTACTCACCACAGCTGGGCCCATGGACTGTAAATAGTTGTTTCTTAGCGGGCTTTGCTGTTGCCCTCTCTCATGTCAGCCTCGACTACTTGCTGAAACACTTCCTCTTCTCGTTATGTATCCATCCGACCGCCCCCGCTGTTGCTCAAGAATGCGGTTTATTCAGTCAATCTGGTTTTGGTCTGAGCCTGGTTTTCCCCTTTTTATACTTGTTGTATGTGACGCATTTCCGCCACCTACTGGACTGGAGTGAGGTCAGAACAGAACTTGATGTGCACATTGATTAACTGTGTTAGGCACACAGAAAACTAAAAAGGAAACCCCACACATTATCACATATCTTATATGCATTTCACCTGCACAAAAGTTTTTCTTCAGTCCAAAATTAATGTTTATTTCTGTTCAACTAAAATCATAACACCCAGCCCCATGGGTTGCTTTTCTCTGCAGAGCTCTTTTGTCCCTGCCAGTGACAGTCGATGATCCACACGCACTGAGGATAAATGTCATATTTACACCTTCTGATTCAGTCTCAACCTTTGAGATCATTAAGCTTAAAAAAACATTAAAAAAAACACAATACCACATACATAATACCAGACTTCAAAGGAAGTGAATAAGATGCAGCTGCAAAGCATGTCGTTTCCTGCCAAAACTCATACAACTCAATGTGTGGTGAACCAAAACATGTTTCCAGTCAACAGACTTAAAAAAAATGTCCTTCTGCAAATAAAGGTTATTTAGCAACAACATTACATATTATGACTAACACAATCTGTATTGTTTTGTATGCATATTTTTTCCACTTTTGCCTTAGCCTTAGTAAAGTGGTGCACATATTTCTCTTTCCTACGCCCTTGTAACGCTTCACATTTTGAAAAAGTCTATATTTTGAAATTACATTTACCTATAAAGATACTGCACAGAAGGACGGTATCTCAGAAGAAAACATGCTTTATTGGATTCAAGTAAGACTGCATGAAGGTTGTAGATTTGAAGTATGTGAGACTTGCTGTGTTAGATGAGGCAGTTTTGCATCTGGAGATTGTCTGGAGATAGTTTCTTCACAGTAAGTTTAAGGTCAACCATTTTAGAGACTTTTCAGTGTATCGCATGGCAATCATGACACTTCTATCAAAGATGAATGCATTTCACATTTTAAATGAGTTTCCATTGTGTCTTAACCTTTATATATACAGTCTATGGTCTTAACAAGGCCTTCCAGGTTAAAACACACATCCCACAGTACATAGTTACTAGTCTTTTAAAATAATTATAAAGCATCTGCTACCAATTAATAGTTAGTCATAGACTGGCAGAATAAGTACTATTTGACTTGAGTGTAATATAAATTGATTATATTTTAAGTATTACGTGGCAGCTGGTTAAAAGGGAGCTAATTTTGATGTCTTTATTTACTGCTAGGTAGCTTAATCCATGGCAATATATCATTATTTATCAATGGATTTTTGTATGAGGTTCTAGTAACCTAAACCTGCAGTAACTAGTTGTGGAGGAAAAGTGGGCCTACAATATTGAGATATAGGTTAAAAGCACAAAGTACAAGTACATTCAGACACTGCATTGAATAGGGCCTTTTTAAATGTGTTTATTCAAATAGAAACCCACAGATAACTTGTATTTGTATTGTATTGCTTCAAATGTATTCATATTATTATTACAGATCAATTTTAAATTCAGAAGGTAGAACGTGACGCACACGTGAACTGGTCACGACGTCATCACGCATGCTGAATAGGATTGTGGGTAAAAAAAACCCAAAGAAGGTCCGTTGTTTACCATGGCGACGGGGACGCTACCGTCTGTTGTTAGCAGATACAAAGTGCCTATTATAACATTATTTCTGTCTGTATACATAGATATTTTTGATTGCCAGCAGTTTGTCATCCCTTTCAAGTCTCCTTCAGACTGTAGTGGGGACGAATTTTTCGATATCTCAAGTCTCTCGTGTGTGAGCTGCGGTTCAAATCAGCTCCGGAGCACAACAGGTAGGTTACCATCACACAACAAGTCATGTAGCATATTGACTATATATATGCCAATTTAACCTTGTGGTTTATCAAAAATAATTAATTTTAACAAAGACTCGAACAGCCATCCACGACCCAACAAATCCACAATGAACTGGGTAACAGTTAGCTAGTAAAAGGCTAGTTAGCTTAGATAAAAGTATTGATGGGGAAATCCACCTACAAACAGGATGCACAGTTTGACGTTTGAATGAATGCCTCTGTGCCGAAAGACTTTATTTAAGGAGATATTACGATAACATTTTTTCTGACTGATCTAAAGTCTTGTCATCTATTATGGACATACTTCACAGTAGTTTAGATCACACAAAAAATCAAATGTGTGGTACTGTTAATATTTTCCATAATCTAATGATTACTCTCTATATGTGTGTAGGTCTTTTTTTCTATTTAACTAATTCCTCAAAAGGTAACACTCCATAATGATTATAAGTCATGATTTATAGCAAGTATTTCCTCGAATTGAGGCATGAGCCCATTACCTTGAATATCACAATAACTAATATCTAAAAACGTACCCCTCTTCAATCAGCATAAATGCTCTCCTTTTTTTGCAGGACTGAGCTGCATTTGCAAAACTGGTTACCAAACTCTCATAACCGACAAGACATCCATCACATGTCAGCAATGTCCCACTGACAAACCCGTACGTACAATTCCCCTGGAAATTGCTGTTAATCTCACATTATACTGTCGATAATGCATCTCACTTTCACTTCACAATTGCAATCCCATTGGTAATATTGCTTTGTTGACAAGTTGTCTCTCATTACAGGCAGTAATTACAGATGGGTTTGGGTGTGTCCGCTGTCCCGGCAGTCTCAGTGATGAGGGGAATTGCCAGTGCCCACCAGGCAATATCCTGGGTGAGTCACCATAGACACTACCAGTCATGAATAGCAAACATGCTTCTCAAAGTCTTAAATGTTAAAAGTGCGTGCTGTAAATTTAGCAGCATTTTGTGTAAAAAAAAAAGGCTTAATATGAGCTGTTGTTTTTCAGTGGAGAGAGATACCAATGGAAACCTTCTGGATGAGGCCAGGTGTGAAATATGTAATGGAAATACCCCTGGTTTGACTGTGCCAAACTACAGTGGAGACAAGTATGTACAGCACCAATACCTCACAACCGAAACACTGGTATATTCAGTTTCATACATATTCACACTCAAGAAGTCGTCCAAGGCATCTGAGTTAGTCAGTGCAAATCCATGTATTGTACTGTCCTGTAGACTGATTACATTTCATGCATTAAAGCATGTTCAGTTACAATAGGCCAATAGTCTAATTTAAGAGGCGTTAGATACTTTCTTTGAATGAAAATGGAACAATCCCCTTTTGAGGGATATTGATTCTAGTCTGTGTGTCACCCTTGCACAGCAGACCTGCAGTCAAATGAGGAAGTGAAATCAGTGCAGATTGCATAATACATTTGGTTGAAGGTCAAATGTGGCTGTATCTTCCCTTTCTTTATCCCTCTGTGCCCCTCATAAGCACTAACCCTTAAAACCTCATCATTACAATGCCAGATAAAACTCTTTCACACAAGTGGTTTGTTCTGATAAATGGCGTATAAGTGTTAACTGCCTGTCTCTAGCACCCCTAGTGTGATAAGAAAAGATTGATAGTACAGTATGTACGGTTTTTATACTTTGTTTTTCAGGTGTGAGAGATGTCAGGATTCCTTCATTAACTCCTCCTGTGTGTGTAACCCTCCTAATGTCCTGGTGAGTTCTGCTGACCCTTTTCCCTCACACCCTCCTCCAGACTCATCATACACACACCATTCAGTATCAGACTCATTCATTAATGCATCTTCACTGGTTGGTATGCGATTTGCAGGCAGGAGGACTATGTTTCCCTTCAGGCAGCCTCTCCACTAATGTGAATCCCAGTGTCAACTATGCTCAGCTGGTGAGTCTTCCCTTTCCTCTCTCACTTGCTCACTCAATTTTGTTTATATTGATGCAATCTGATTTGTGCTTTCCGCTTTTTTCCCCTTGCAGAAGTTCAGTGTCCAGTCTGCCTGGTTTGTCAAAAACCTGTACTCCTCGTCAGCAGCCTGCCTTGTAATTTCTAACTCTTTATTTTACTGATCCAACATTATGTTCGGACATCAAGAATATTCTATGATTTACAATGTGGTGTTGTAGCTTAATTGTTGTAATTGTGATAGCTGTTGGTATTTATGACAATTCATAGCCTTTCAAATAAAAAAAATGCAAATTCATGCGAAAATGCATCTCATAAATGTCCACATGTAAATACAAGGATACAGAAAGTGTTGTCTTTTGTTAAAACAGCTTTTAGAACTAATCTTCTGTGCTGTCAGATTGTATCTCATACGGATCTTTTACTTTTATGAGGAGAGGATTTTCTTAACTTTCTGTGTATATTCCAGCTGTTTCATAAACAGTTTTGTATTGTTACAGGTATTCTCCAACTTGACGGCATGTCAGGCTCTTGGGAACATGTGTGTGATGAACATGCATTCCTTCAGCAGCGTCTCCACCGATGCCTGCGGCCTCTTTAACACCATCTTCAGATCTCGGGCTGCTTTAAGCTCAACTCAAGACATCTCTTACTGGTAATCAACACTATCATGGCACACAGTATGTGTATATGTTGTGCCATCTATACAATGTATGGATTAAATAGCATGATTTCTAACCATATACTGTAATTATTTTGCATTTTGGTTACTTCGTCTCTAGGAGAGTTAATCTGCCGTGGCTTTACTACGGGGACGAACCTGGGCTGGCAGGTCGAGTGCTTCAGACCGATCCTGTTCCCCTTAAGTTCAGTTTCAGAGGAAGAAACAAGGTCAGTGATGAACTTGAATCATTCTCCAGTTATCACAATGAAATCAATGCTTAAAGATTCTACAAATTCAGCAGTAAACCGTTTTTTTTATCTGACACATTCTGTTTGTCCGACAGAACACGGACATTAGGCTGCTTGCTGCTGTATATAATGTCAGAGGAGAGTTCCTCAGATGGGAACAAGTAGGAGCAGGTAATCTCCAGGTAAGATGGCACATGACTTATTAAAAGGATTTTACGCCTGAAAACACAAAACAAGTGTTACTTATTTTTAAGATATGATTA